AATGACTGGACCGATTTTGACGGGACTTTCTGATTAACTTTGGTTACTTTTATTTTAGACGAGCACACAATCCACCTGATGGTAAGTGGTTGCTGTGGCCCATAGACATCTACATCTACAAACGAAGATGTTTGCGAATTAAATCAGAAAATCAGCCGTGAGGACTAAGATAGAATGCCTCTTTTCCAGTAAAAAGGGTGGATAGGTTTTTGACTTATTACAAAGTTAGGTATTGGATAGATTAGGATAGAAATGGGATACTGTATCTATGTGTCAGACATAAAAAAAATCTTCGATACAATACATCGTGTATCGACATCCAAATACGGTACACGATAATCCGTAATTGGTATGTCTTCGAAATATGTTTTGTGAAGCCTGTCAACACGCTTTGGGGCATTGGTGGACATTTCCTTGCCCTAAAACCCTCTCAGAAATGAGTGCAGGCCTGTGCCCAGGAGTGAGACGTACCTATATATGCTGTAACTTTAGTAACTATTTATTATGTAGTATAGAAGTGATATAATATATTTTAATTCCTAAATTTCAATCTGTGATTTCACTAATCGAATCAGTAATATTTTTATTTAATTCATTTGTAATTTATATATTCTTAAACTAGCTGTTCCCCGCGACTTCGCCCGCGTGTAATTTCGGTTTTTAATTATTTTGCGCGGAACCCTAATTCGTAAAACAAAAATAGCTTAAGTTACTCTTTATAACATCAGCTGTCTGCCAGTGAAAGTCCCATCAAAATCGGTCCAGCCGTTTCGGAGATTAGTCGGAACAAACAGACAGACGGACAGACGGACAGACAGACAAAAATTTTAAAAATTGTGTTTTTGTTATAATTACCATATATACTTTCATATTCATTTAAGGAAAAGCTGTTATTTTAACGTTACAAACAGACACTCCAATTTTATTTATTTGTATAGATAATTTAAAATTAAAAATTTGTACAGCCGACTTCAATATGTTATTTAAGAATAACTCAAAAACTATTGGTCTGACCTTGATCAAAGTCATATGGGACCACATGAGAACTATCAGCTTTTATATAAAAAAAAGAATCATCGAAATCGGTTCACCCAGTTCAAAGTTATGAGGTAACACACATAAAAAAAGCACACAGTCGAATTGAGTACCGTCTCCTTTTTGGAAGTCGGCAGAAAAAGAATTAGGGTTCCGCGCAAATAAATTAAAACCCATGGGGAGTCCAATCGTAATAATTAAACGTGGACAAAGTCCCGGGGAACCTAGCTGTATTTAATAAGTATGATTTAAAACAAACCATCAGCAGACTATTCGCAGGTATCTGCCTGCCTATAAAACATTTGTAATTGCAATTTGATTACCTCGTTGCTTTATCAGTTGTAAGCGCGACTACCGATCATGTGGTTCCAGGTTCGAATCGGGTCTAGCCAAAATTTGTTATTAGGTTTTTCGTAAAAAAATTCTCAGTTCAAGCCTGGAGTCAAGAAGTTAGCGGTGTTTAAACCTGTGCCTTGGAAAGCACGTAAGGCCGTTGGTCTTGCGTTTGATCTCTTTTCGTTCGAGTCGCATTTTCGTGTCATAGGACTATGAAATTGACGAAATGGAGAACGCAATTGTATTTGCGCACACGCTTATGCGCAATATTCCAATATTCTCCGTTGTGACTGACCATCTCGAGCGAAATTCGGTTTGTAGGATATTATTATATCCATCATACATCTGTCACAGCCTATAAAAGATCTCTGTTAAACATAGGCCTCTCCCATAGATTACCTCATAGAATTTTGCCATAGTTGCCACGCTCGGCGGGTGAGTTGGCAACCGCAGTTTTTTATAATTATGAGTTGCTATGCAGAAGATCCTGTTACCCATTTCCTTCCTGTTTTAGGTACCCTCTGTCGCTTTTTACGATAACCATGCGATGATATGGGATAGTGGATATTCTTACACCGTTTATGTTATTATTATTATTATTGATTGCGGTCGCTTGTCTCATTGGCTCTATTTTTATAGGATAGGGTGACAAACGAGCACACAGTCCACTTGATAGTAAGTGGTTGCTGTGATCCATAAACATCCACATCTATCCTCAATAAAGAATCTAAATGCAGATGCGTTGTCACCCGTGAGGACTAAGATGGAATGCTTCTTTTCCAGTAAAAAGGGTCTCCGGTTCTCTACACTCACCATACGAAACACAGCAGCGTTAAGCTGCTATTTTACGCTGGTATTCTGTGAGAGCGTGGTCCTTTCCCGGTTGAGCCGAACCATTCGTGCTACAACTATACTACTTATATAGCTGTAGCATGGCTCTACCACGTAAAAAAAAACTCTGCTCTGCTCGTACTCGAACAATAAATTATTCAAATACATTACTTCACTTATTTTTATCCTTCTAGTTAACGAAAGTACGGCTTTAGCGCGTGTTATGTTTAGGTAATATTTTTCGTGATTACCCGTTGGCTTGTCACCTGCTAAGCCTCTAATGTTATCAATTTAGGATTATGATTAATGAAGCTTTTCACCTAATGCTATTCATTTTTTCTCGCTCATTAATAATACTGTAATTTGTTAATGAATAAACTGATTAAATGGCGCAAATATAAGTCTGAGGGATGGTATACATTTGTGAGTTTGTGACGTTCGCTTTAGTGACTATCAGTGCGTGGTGAATTTTCTTATGGAACTGAACGTATGCCGAGCAAAAGGAGCTCGTAAAACTCCACTGTAACACAATTTCCCTTAACAGCCCAAGCTTAGTAGAGGCGATAGCTCTAAACTTAGACCCTGTTCCCGTTTTCACTCCGAAATAGTTATACTGCCATGTTTCGGAAGGTACAGGTTGGTTAAATAAACACAAGGATTACTTTCAATAAGTGTTATTTATAATCTATATTAAACTTTATTAAAATCTGGTCTTTTATATTTATAGAAGAGGGGGCAAACGAGCACCTGATGGTAAGTGACTACCACCGCACATGAACAACCGCAACACCAGGGGAATTGCAAGTGCATTGCCGGCCTTTTAGAAAGGGGTAAGCTCTTTTCTTGAAGGTCCCTAAGTCGTATCGGTCCGGAAAAACTCCGCTGCTAAACAATTCCACAGAGAAGTTGTACGCGGAAGAAAACTCCTAGTGAAACGCACAGTGGTGGACCGCCAAGCATCCAGATGATGAGTTTATATTTGATAAGTTTTTATTTATTTTTGTAGTTTCTTGTTACTAAGGTTTCCGATGTATTTGTTTACATGTGTATGTGTATGTGTTTTGACTTTACACGAAAGAGCACCTCATAGAGCACCTCATGGATCAAAAGTCCACTGCTGAACATAGTCCTCCTCTATAGGGTATGTTTGCCACAGTTTTCACGGGTTTTCAACTTAGTTTTTTTTAAAAATAATTTTGAGTTGTAATGAGGCAAATGCCGTTGTCCATCCCCTGTTCCATTTCCCTTTGGCATCTCTTACGGTACTCAGGGAATGATATGGTGTTGTAGAATCAACTTCACAATCGAGAAAGAGATACTCTATGACTAAGCTATCTAGGATATGTTAATTATTTTACAGGTCACTGCGGTTCAGATCCAATTTCACGATTCAATAATTGTATAACGCCGGTAACATAAGTTCTGCGTTATTGTACATTGTAATTACAGGACGGACGTTCTACTGGCATTGTTTCAATGAGGTGGAATGGAATGGACGACATTATATATAATAGTTCACTGAATTAATATGACACGAAACAGACAGAAAACAGATACGTAATATTGTTAGTAGGATAATTATTGTCTGGAGAAAATATAGTTATAATTCCCCATTATTTATTTACTCTTAAATGAACCTATGTCAATGTATAGAAAAAAATGGGGACCTACTGGTGGAAATGGGCAATTTTTTCAGAAGTCTTAGTTTTAACATATCATTACGTTTTGAGATGTCTAAAGTTCAAATCAAATGTTCTCAAACTCAAAAGATCTTACAATTAAGCAACAAATAGATAGTTGACATTGAGTGCAGACAGAACTGTCTATTTTTACATTATCACTCATTTTTTTTATTTTAGAGAAAACTATTTTTATTTATATTATACACTGTTTAGTGTGGCGAGGGGGGGGGGGGGGTTCAAGAAAATCGCAATATCGTCGAAACAGATCGGGAAACAGAACGGGAGATGGGCAGCGGCGTCATGCTGCAGTGCGTTTGCCAATTCGGCTTACAAACATGGCACCTATGACAAATAATCTTCCCTATAAAGCAATCTATGGGAAAAGGTTATGTTTGTGGATTTTCATGGGCTGTAATAATGATAATGACGATGATGATGATTTATATTCACAACATAATGGTACATGGTCTCCCAGTAAATCTAAATCATCTAGGGACTTGCAGAAACACACACGAAAAATTCGATCAAAACCGGTCGAGCCGTTTTCGAGTTTTAGCGAGACAAACGGACGGTGTGCGTACGTAACAAACGCATGCCGATAAAATGCCTTTTTTTACCGTCAGAAGCTTTTGCGGGTGCGAACACGACAACTTACGAAAGTTGCCGTGCCGCACCCGCAAAGAAAGAAACAAAGCAATATTAATTTCTATATATAAAATAAAAAAATCTTATATCTAAATACCTAAATAATAACGATTAGCATATTATGTAAATGTACTGTCATACAGTAACTGTACGCAAGCATAGGAGAATCCCTCATCCAATATCGCCTCGTGGGAGTGGTACAAACTCGGTGCCATTATTCTCGCTTACTTTAGCTGCTCAAGTTAGGAGTGGTTCAGTAAAGTAGTCGAATTGTGGCTGTATTATGGTTGCAACACGAATGGGTCGACTGGAACACGGAAAAATACTCACTCGTATTCACCGTAGACTCACAGTAGGTCGCACCGACGCATTCGTGCTGCAGCGTGGTTCTAACACGTTAAAAGTTATTTCGACTGTAAGAAAAGCCTTAATATAGCTACCACGTTAAAAGATAGAGTAGGAGGCACTCACCACTTTCAGATACGGAGGAGGGCGATCGTTCCGCGGTGGAGACTCCCGAGGAGGATTCTAGGGAGGAGAAGGAGTCGGTCCTGGTGGAGTGCGCGTGAGGCAGCGAGCTCTCGGAGAGAGTGCGCGCGTCCCGGTGCGCCGCTCGCAGTTGCGCGAGCCGTCTCCGCAGGTAGCGCTGCTCCCGGGCGAGCTGCTCTTTGTGACTCCAATGCCTCTTCTCCCGCTCTTCTAAGCTCTGCAAAGAGAAGTACCTGGATAAGGTATGATTTACATAACTGGCTAGCATATAAGACGAAAATTTGGTATTGGGTTTGAAAAAAATTAATAAGCCGACCTCAAACAGCTAAAAGAATAAAATATTGTAAAAAAAATTAAAGCCATCTAGGGACTTCATAATGTAAAAGTACTTTATTCTTTTCTTTTAGTGGTTTGAAGTCTGATTATTATTAAAAATATTTTTTTACCCTTTTGAATGCACTAAGGCAAATAATCTCAATTTCGTCTAATTAGTTTCATTTAAAACTTCATACTTTATTTTGCCACCCTTTTGGACTTTTGTCCTCATATTTATATGGGACCACTCCTGAAGTATAGCCTATTTAATAAAAAATAGACCTCAAAATCGATTCACACTTTACGAAGATATCGCATGACATACACAAAAACACAATCAAATTGATAACCTCTTCCTTTTTTTGAATGGACAGAAAGTTATGAAGTTTTTCTAGCTGTATTTGATTATTACTGCAATTTTGAATATTTTCCGAAGCTATCTAAACTGAACATATTACAGTGTTTTAAACCAAGACTGGACGGAGTGATCATGTACTCCGACCTCTATGCCATGCGGATATAAAACAAAACAGCTCTGTTACAAAACTAGCGAATATTTTACGTGAAACTTCCCGGTTCCGGGGAATGTGTTGCATGAAATATGTGACGTCGTAAAAGCATATAATACGCGACCATGGCTATATTATAACATAACAGTTAAAGGTGGGTCCACATTCGTAATGGTATCGACTCGCTGTGATTCCGCGATCGTACCGTGGCGAGTTATGTTACACGGGCTAATGACACGACCTTACGTCACACAGTGATACGTTCAGGGGTTTCGTGACATACGAATTTTTGCCGTATCATAGATTTATGGTGTGACACGCGGTTTTTAGTAAGCGATACTCTTGTGTCGAGTGTATACGGTATTTTCCTTCTGGTAAGTCTAAGTCGATGTGGTGGCAATGTAAGAATATCGACTATCCCATATCATTCTGTGGATGTCGTAAGAGGCGACAGAGGATAACAGCAGCAGGCAGCAGGGGCCAGCAGCGTCTTCTTAATGACATCCAAAAATAAAAAATTGCGGTTGCCAACCCGCTTGCCAAGCGATCTATGGCAAATATATTTCTAACGTCTTCGGGAAAGGAGTTCCAGAGAAATGCAGACTGAATAGTGAAGGATTTACCAACAAAATTTGTTTGTAGTGGGATACTTAATTTATAATTAGACGAGGAACGCAGAATTCTAGAAAACCAGTCCTGGCACCTAGTAAAAATATAATTCGCTGAAAGTAGATTTCATCAAAGGATAATGCAATTGAAACAAAGGAACAACCATCCTGGCAGAATGTCAAAAGACACTGTACATGTGACTTACATCTTACAAATTGCGAATGTCATGGCCACAGATAAGTCGAAGGGTAATTAACAATAAAAAACTATGAATATTAATAACACGAAATTTTAATTAATTTTATTTAGGATATAGGTGTGTTAAGTTTAGTTTCTGTATTATATTTAAATCTATTGTATTTCAATATGATTGGTAAGTAATATTGTGGTATTTATTTCCTTTAAAGGTATCTCAACTTTTTGGTTTATGCACAAAATCGTCTTTAAAACTAGTAGTCAAAATAAACTTCAACGGATTTTTGAACAAGCTTTTGGCAGAGAATTATTGCTTAAACGATGGAGCCATTTTTCTTTTAAAATAAGAAGAAGTTGAAGGGTGCAATAATCATCATTCTCGCCGTTTTTAATTGAACCAATCTTGTGTATCGAATAAAACAATGTTAGGAACTGTGATGGTTACGGTGAAATGATACAAGCAGTCAACCCTCGTCCATATTAATCGAAGCAAGTGCCGTTATTCTGTCACGGAATATGGAGCGTTGAAATGACACGAATATGGAGCCACCTTTCAGAATTTTTTTCAAAAGGCTTGTGGACAGCGTCCGGCCGTTGGGAGGATTAAAGGGGGCTGCGGGGGAGGTCGCATCACGCCATCGCCCGGGGCCGCAGATGAAATATCCCCTCATAAATCTGCCGCGTCTCGTCGCCACGGTCTTTGTCTATTCCGTTCCTAGCGGGAAACGTTATTTTGCGACGACTAAAAATAATATATGGCGTGTCTAAGATCTATGATAATGCTTATGACTCTATTAATCTCGCTTTATCTATCCACCGTATATGATAGATGTGACGGCATTGACTAGGCTGAGAACAGCTGCGCGAAATACGAACTGCCGATGGAAATTTTGTTTTATTATGAAGGTATTTTCTCTTAAATTGTAAGAGAACAATGCCTAATAATGACTTATTCAGTATTAGTAATGATTTTTACGACATCTCGTCATGTATAACTCAAAACTTGAAAACAAGATTATACAACCAGTGCGTGTTGCTAGTAATGACATATGAATTTGAGATTTCGGCCTTCACTGCTGGCCGTATGAGGAAGTTGAAGGTAGCTCAGCGAGCTATGGAGGGGGCTATAAAATAAGGGTATCCGTAGTAGAACTAGAACCAACCAATCAACATAGCCCAACGGATAAATAATATGAAGTGGCAATGCGCCGGCCATACAGCTCGAAGAATCTACAACTGATGGAGAAGAAAGTTTCTCGAGTGGCAGCCTCGTACCGGTAAGCGAAGTGTAGGACGGCCCCGCTTAGATGGAGTGACCACCTAGTAAGAGATGCAAGAAGTCGATGGAAGCATGAGATTCTGAACCGTTGACATACTTTGGGAGAGGCCTATGCACAGCAGTGAACTTGTGAAAGGGTGTAATGATGACGACGAATGATTTTATATGGCATGAAACTGACAAACTTTTACTGCTACCAGTCTATATGATTTAAAGTAGCTACCGCAGCCCATGAATATGGGGCTAATCCCGCTCTATCGCGTCTCAAGTCTATGGCCAAAGAAAATAAGCTATTTGTATATTTACTTTATTATTTTTCGATGTCAACCATTGCCATGCGGTAATCCTAAAGTATCTCACAGTAAAAGTTTTAAGTTGAGTTACTTTTGCACTTCGTTACACAGGCTCACGCTCGACTCGCTCGAGATAGACAAAGTTAATCCATGAAAGAATTCACTTTTAGGGACTTTTGACGTAGTCCAGGCTTCTGTATTGAATTAGCTCGGTATTAGACTGTTATGTTTATCTCACTTAAACTTTAAAGGAATTACCGTTGCTCCTTTAGGTTTAATAAGGTAACGTCAAATTTCGAACTTTTGAAAGCAACAAATTTATATACTACCAACCTACGTTAGTAGTATATAACTTGTTATATACTATAAACGTAAGTTGATAGTATATTTTATTGTATACACCTTGTTAAAAAGTTAAAAAAATATGTTATCCTCACACTAGGTTCTTCTCACGTATCGCGGAGGCAGTTTACGTACATAAATTGCACAAGGACAAGCATCCAGACCGCGAACAATTATTCGTAGGAAATATAGATAATTGTTCCGAGCGGCATTCGAGCCCGCAGCCCTCAGCAATAGAGAACACTAAAACCAGAGAGAAACAGCTAAGTAGAGCACTCAAAAAGGGAGCCCCGTAAATATTCGCAGCAGAAATAACGATGTAAATGAGCAGACCGATGAATTTTAAACATTGTATTCTCGAGACAAGCCCGGTATCGGCTATAATTTAATTGGTTATTTGAAAAGTTTTCCAATCTGCATGAGAAATGCGGTGGCGGCGGTCGGCGGGACTTTTCGTCCGTCGACTAGTTAAATATACCGGGAGCTTTGTTGATTTAGAGCTTCGTTTAAGGGCGCTACTACACTGACTGAAGCTCGGGTTACACTTTTTTTACTTGTCGACAGCGTAATTAAAATCAAATAAAACTAATTTTATTGGTTTTATCGCGTTTTATTTCACTTATTTTTAACTTGTTTTTAGTTCCCAACGTTTCGAGAGATTTACAACATCTTCGGTGAGGCTTTTTTTTTATAGAATAAGGGTGATAAACGAACACACAGTCCACCTGATGGTAAGTGGATGCTGTGACCCATAAACATATACATTTATTCTTAATTAGGAATCAAAATGCAGATGCGTTGTCACCCGTGAGGACTAAGATGGAATGCCTCGTTTCCAGTAAAAAGGGTCTCCGGTCTTCTACACTCATCATACGAAACACAGCAAGCAGCCTTAAGCTGGTATTCTACGTTGGTATTCTGTGAGAGCGTGGTCCTTCCTCGGTCGAGCCGACCCATTTGTGTTACAACTGCAACTAATATAGCTGCAGCTTATCTCTACCACGTATAAAATGGGTCTAAGGTATTTGACCTCTTGATGTCCTGTTTTATGGAAATTTCTCTTTGCCAGTAATAGGAAAATAAAATTAATATTTTTTTTCTTGACGTGAATTACTGTCACTTACATTATGTCTTCTGTTTGATTTGTAACTTTTTTATTTATAGATTAAGGATGAAAAATGAGCACACAGTCTACCTGATGATGAGTGGAAGCTGTGGCCCATAGACATCTACATCTATTCGCGATTAAGAATCCAAATGCATTATACAAAATAAGTGCAAGATGTGTTGTCACTCCTGGGGATGGCTCGAGACCAAGGCCGCTGCAGCATGGCTTTACCAAGCGAACTAATACCAGATTTAGTGAGATTTTGCAAGTGCATAATTTTAAAAAATATAGGATCCATTACAACAAGTACGTTACACGCACGCACACATTCACAAGGGTCGATTGGTAGGCAAAATCTTTGTTGCCCATAAATCACATTCAATTTGGGAAAATTTAAAATAAAAGTAGAAGTTTTATATACTCGTATTTTAAAAAATTGCAATAAAACTATATCATTATTTATATATTTGAACTTTTAAAATTTGGCTACTCGTTGAGAAATAACCCTGTATAGTAGATATTCATTATATTTGTATTTAATATTTCAGTATGTGATGTGGTAGGATT